CGATTTTGCCCACATACTCGTTTATGTGGTAACCTGTTCTCTATTAACTAACCTTGGTACCTACTGATGTTTTAGCGGTATTTGTGATTTATTGTTTTTGTGTAGTGTGTAGTACATATTAAGTGTTAGTTTAATATTATCTACAATGTATAAAACTGCAATAAAAACAAAGTTTGTTGTCTTCTTCGTTATCGATTTCGACATGCTAATCCTTTCTTTTATTAATTTATTATCATCTGCAAACTTAAAAAAAACTAGCTACATGTGGGAGTAATTCCTGGAAGTTTTTTCATTTATCCTATCTTATCTGTACAGGTTTAGACAACAACGTAGAATGTTTAACTTTTTATGTTATTTCTATTTCTCCATAAGCATTAGTGAATATACTGTTCAGCACTTAACTCATTTTTAATAAAAATGTCACTTGTACTACTTCTTCTCTGAGCTCCTCAATTGTGATGTTTAAGTATTTCTTTTTATTGAAGCTTTGACTAACAGACTGCAGTAAATGCATACACTGTCTAGTGAATGTATACATTTACTAGTAAAAGTATCCATTTCCATGCGCAGTGAATACTTTGGCTAAAACCGTACGTCAATGTATACATTGACTAGTCAGTGTATACATTCGCTGAAATGTACGCTTTGACTGTAACATATGTATATACATTAAATTAACTTCATTAACACAAAAAATGATCATTAATTATTTCAGTTTTTGCTTTATTATAAACTGTAAATAAACGAATGACCAGTATCTAACGGTTTTCTATACTAATATGTGTATATTGTCCAAAATCAAAAATTGCAAAGAAAACTGCTGCTATACTAGTTCTCCAATATTACGCGCTAATTACCAATTATAACTTGTTTTACCAGAGCGCCAGGTGAAAATGTCGCAATAAACATTCGTATGGAGTTCATAATACTGAGAGAGCAGATACTAGTTACGTATTATACAAGTGACAATAAATAAACGAATGACCAGTATCTAACGGTTTTATATAGTAATATCTCTATATTGTTCAAAATCAAAAATTGCAAAGAAAACTGCTGTTATTTTAGTTCTCTAATATTACGCGCTAATTACCAATTATAACTTGTTTTAGCAGGGCGCCAGGTGAGAATGTCGCAGTAAACATTCGTATGGAGTTCATAATACTGAGAGAGCAGATACTAGTTACGTATTATACAAGTGACAAAAATAGGCCCTTGACGAAATCCCAGATGATTCAATTTCAAAATTAAGATATTATGATTAACTCTATCAAATGTTTTAGCGAAATATGTACAGACTGAGTCAACATGAACGCATATAACGTGTCAGTAGATTCGATAGAGATGAATTGTCGTTCATCGGTATCACATAGCTAGTTTTCCACCATTTCAGAAACTTAGAGTCATTAAGGACTGAATGAGAATAACAATGGGACTGATATAGTATACATACATTTTTTCAGAAGTACTTCTAGCTAGGGACTCCATCCAAACCAAAAAAGCAAAGGTCTCATTGTCTCATAACTCATCAGTTCCAAAGTTGAAGGGGCCCCCTGCCCGGATGACGACTTTACAGCGGCATTGTACAAATATGACTCGCTAATAACCAATTATAATTTGTTTTAGAGAAGCGCTAGGTGATTTTATCACAGTAAATATTAGCAAAACTCATACCTACCTACCTATATTTACAGATTTGCCATAAATTTCACAATGTTTGAATAAAATCTTTCTTTTTCAAATTACTTAATTCAATTTATTCAAAGCATTATTTTATTAAAAAAAAAAAATTGGCCTACCGTATTAAATAGAACTTCCCTCGCTATCCAACAAATCCAACTTCTTCGAACAATTATCGAATTTGATTTTGTTAATGTAATTTTATTTTTTATGATAACGTCTATAATTTAAAAAAATTAAGATAGAGTTATGTATATGGACTGTTGGGTACAGATAAAAAACCTGTTATGCGTAAGTTTCAAGTAAGTTTTTCCATAATAACATTTTTATAATACATAATATCGTCAATATTTTAACAAAGCACGTACATCAATTTGCGTAGGTGCAGTGTGTTTCTAATAATAGCAGCACTATTTTCTCAAACTTTTGAGAAAATGGGGTGAACGTTGTTGGTTCGCTCAATAAAATAAATTATTTTGTTTTTTTCATGATAGAAATAATATTATAGTGTTAATCGCTTATAAAATACGGTGTTCAAAATTTATAAAATACTGCGTCCGTAGTTTATAAACTACGCTCGTAGTGTAAAATACGTGAAATGCAATTCAATTATACAAGACGACCCTTATTTTGAGCCTGGGCGGTGAAAGTGAGTGGAAAGCAAAAAACACAGCTAACTTGACGTCAATTTTTTTGATGGTCCGTTAAATTCTTGATGATAATCAAGGAGAATTCCCCTAACCTCAAACGTCAAAAGACTGACACATTGAGGTTAAGTGGGGAAAATGAATGTGTGGAGTTAATAATTGGTATCTAACCAATAATTAAAATAAAGCAACTTCAGTTATAAATATTATTTTGATATGCTATGCACTCTGAAGTGAACGTTGAATGTCACTTTCGTTTCAGAAATAATTGCCGAAGAGATATTTGGAATACTGTGCTCTTTACCCACCAGAAACAATCTCAATTATTTAGGTACATCCTCTCACCAAAAATAGGAAATAAACTAATGTAATACAACCAGAATTAATTATGTATATTGTAGTAAGCCGTTTCGAACCAAATTTCCGCGCGCTAAACCTTTGGTAAGAAAAGGGGTAGAAATGAAAAGAAACGAAAACCACTAATAAGGAGATGTGCAGAAGGGTCGTGTTTGAGAGGGGTGAGTCGCGCCATATTGACTTCGTCTTTCTTTCGAGTAAGACGTCAAGTTGGTGCTCCCTGCGTTTTCCATGTGTCTGTGCGTTGTTTGTTTCCTGTTTTTAGCGGCGATTCCTTCTAACGGAGTTCCACCCCCCGGACGAACCAGGGAACGTAAGAATTCTCTGCTCCGTTTCGAACAGAGAGAGGCTTTATTTCGTTGGTGAGCACGTGTTTGGTTTGAAGATCCGAGAGGTATGTTTTCCACGTGCTTCCTTGTGTGCTGATGGAAGAAGCGGCGTTGCTTCTCGATGGTTACGGAGTATGTGACACGCGGGGATCCCACGTATGTGAGCTTCGCGTGTGTGACACATACGCGAACGGAAGCTACAAAATGGCGACGCCTCCGGATGACGCCGTGGCCCTTAATTTTCGTACTAACCTTTTCAACATAATTTCAATCCGTTTAGTAGGGCTTTTCAGGGAATTACGTTAGCTAGGACAGTTTTATTTAGCAAATGTTTTGCGGAAAGTTTAGATGGCAATTTTCGAGTTATTATTTTGCGTTGCATAATTTCAGCACGTGTGAGTAAAGTAAATTCAAACGTAATCTGAATAAGTTAATCTTTAACAAAATAACGCTGAGAACGGCATCAGAAAAAATAATAATATCATTATCTGGGGGACGGGGGGTTTCTTTTGTGTTAGCTGCGTTACCTGTGCGTTTATTGTAAACTCTAATTCTGGAAAATTCCATGTAGTTTTCAAATATTCAATAAAAAAAAAAATAGAAAGGAGAAAGTGGTAGGGTGCAGAGTACGGGGTGTTGACCGGGAAATTTCAAGGGCGTCCTTTGTAAATTTTTGTATTAGTTATTGAGGATTCGTTATTGACCGAAAACATTGTCGATGAATTTGAAACCATGTTTTTTGTGTACTCCGTCCTGTACCGTACTAAGGTGGTGAAGGAAACACCGGAGCTAGTGAACGTTTATGATTGGCTATGTCTTATTTATTTTGCATGTTTTATGTGTTGTTTTGTTTATTTCGTATGTGTTTTTATTTATGTGTATTGTGTTTGGGGGGGGGAGGGTTTGTTTGTTTAATTCGGTAAACAACGTAACGTGGTAAAAATCATTTTAATGCAGTTATAACTTCTTTATTTAATATCATTATTTTAATAAAATCCATAGCTTCTTTGTTATTATCAGATAAATACTTTGATAAAAATCAGCGAAGTAAATGTAGCTTAATTTAATAAAATCATTGCTAAAATGTGAATAATATAATCTCTTTCAAACTTCTTGTTGTTTAAAATCATTGATACAAACATGAATAATTTCTTATTTCATTTTCTTGTTGTATAAGATTGTTGATCACACGTGCATAATTTAATCCCATTTAATTTTCTTTATTTAAAAAAAGGTGTTGATGACAAAATTAAATTTTGTTTATTGCTTGTCTGAAATCCAAATACTCATTTTGATAGCGCTAGTTAACTTGGGGGTCGTGTGGTGTGGACGCGGTGGCGTCGACGCCTCCGTGCGGGTGGTTACGGGTTTTGCTGGACTTCCGACCTTGGCTGACTAGGAGTTTACTCAGCTGGCTTATTGGCGGGGGCAGGAAGGTCAACCTAGAACATGCGGGTGCGTAAGACCACACCCGTGAAGTGGTGAGGCAGGGCCATGTGGGCCTTCACGAGAAGTGTGGCTGTCGCCTACACCCGCTGTGCGCCCCCATCTTGTTTGTAGAGGCCACACCACCGTAATATCTGGAACGTTGCCATCCATTTACTTTTCCGAGAATTCCGCGACCTTTAATTTTGTTTATTGTTGTACTTGTGAGGTTGCTGATATTTTGTTATGTTCTCAGGTTTCAATGAAAATAAAGTTTTTTTTTCTCTAAGGAATAAATTCTTTAGGTCCTTCTGGGGCCCAATGTCAAGGCCCCTTGAGTCCTTATTGAGTTTATTTCTCATAGTTTTTTTTTCCATATATAAGTTTTTTAAATCCGTCACTCTTCCCGCTCCGCAGTGCGTCAATTTGTATGAACGAACGCCTCCCGCCATTTTTCAAAACACAATGTAGGGTCTCACTTTTGCAGACGATCACAGCCAAGGCCAAATTTCAAATTTTGTTCAATATCATTTTAAGGCGGGAGGTTTGGGTTATCAAAGTATAGTTAGTTTTGTTATACTCTTTATTGTTTTAGGCCAATTATTGTACATTATTATTTTAGAAATATACTATATCAGTGGGGGTGTCTGCAAAGTTAATTTTACATTTCTTATGTATGCATACAAAATATTCCCAGGTCGGTGTCCTATTTGGTTAGGATATGTTTGGGCAAATTGTTGACAGAATGCCATTTTTGGAAAAACACCATCATTATATTGAAGGTACGTTCTAAAATGTTGATAAACGAATTCCTTCTCTTGAACAGTCCAACGTGCTTTACTAGTTCGTTTCCTCCTCCTTGGACTATTATTTAGAGTTACTAAAATTTCTTGTGTGGTTGGAAATCTGCTTTGAGGGCTTTTATCTAAAACACAAGAAAGACAAAATAATTTCGCTTTAACAGTGGTACGAAAACAAGAAGTATAAGTCTTAACACAAACAAATTTGGTAGAGTTGAGAAACAATGTTACCAGGGTGAAAGTGCAAACTTAAAAAAATTATCTACCAAAATCATGTACATACATATTTGCTGAATCTAATGTAGGGTATAACAAATGTAATTTAAAATATTGAAATAATAAGTAAGTAGGTTGATCTTACCTGGAGTAGAGCAATTCTTCTTTCGGCGTATTTTTGTTTGCCGATTTCCACTTGTTGTTGCTTTCTCTGTATTTAAAGACGTTACTTGTGTTTCTATGGATGTTTTCAACATATCAACCATGTCGGATACAGCTTCTTCAGTTTCTCCGGTTTCCAATAAAATTTCAGGATCATGTGATACATTAGACTCATCATCATCTAAATGTGGGCGTATTTCAGCTTCAGGTTGCACATTTTCATGGTGATGCTTAGCTAGATCAGTATCAATATGTTGGCCATTCAGGTCATCAAACAATTCTTCATCAACCTCATCACCTACATCGTTTATTTCACTCACTGCTGGTAACATAACTTCTAATTCATCTAAAGTTTTTCCTTTAAATTTGTTTAAGTCTCTGCCACTTTGTAACATAAAAAACTTGGCTAATTTCGTAATTTGTGTTACTTCTTCATTTTGCCTATAATGTCTTCGATGCACTTCAATGTTGTGGCCCATAAAATCAGACAGTTGCTGAACCTCATTATCATTGAGAATTAAAATCTGTGCCACTGTTGCGATTTGTTTCCTCAATGCAGTTGAACGTAATCTAATTGGATGTTTGGCACCACAATTAATAGAAAATTCATTGAGAGCTACTGAACAACTCAGATGCTGAGATTTTAATGGCGCTCCAAATAAGTATGGGTTCTCTTCTTTTACTCCTGCTTGCTTTCTGAGTGACAAAAATAAATCGATATATCTAAAAAATACAGTACACAATAGATGAGAGTGATTTAATTTTTTGTTAAACTTACTGTATTTGTTCATCATCCAACAGAACAGGAAGAGGTCTGCTTCTTTTAGCCATGATTAGCATCCGGGTAAAATGATTTGCAAGCAGTTGCTCTAAGTTATTTAATCCTGCACACTGTTTTTTCTCTAACTTAGATTTTTTTTGGTAGTCTGCTAAACGTATGTTACTTATTTCTCCAACACGTCGCCTATTAAAAATTAAAACATGAAGCATAACAGACTTTCCTAATTTGCACCAGTGGGCGTAGTTAAATCCAGATTGTTTTAATTTATTGCAACTGTAAGACGCTTGAGCCTTAATGTAATCTGTTAACGCCGCTACATCACATGGCAACGGTAATTGTTTATTTTTTTCTATTATATTTCTAACCGTATTTATTCTGGCAGTTTTTGAAACTTTCATTTTAAAGTCGTTGTTATGGACGGCGAGAAAGGCATCAGTTCGTTGAACTTGTGGATCCTGCATTGTTAATCCTTTTTTCAAAAGTTCACTTTTTAAAAATGTACCACAATTTTCTAATAAAATTCTGAAATGTGGAATAACCGTAGGAGTGGTAAGCTCATAAGTTTTTATCTTTAAACCGCTCAGTAAGTAGACAGTCTCAATTATCGTATCGTATTTAGTGGGATCCAGGCAATCAGAAAATTCGCTGATTTCACTATCTAGAAGGCGTGCTTGTATCAAAAGTTTTGCACCTCTTCGAAGTTGTTGACGAGTGTTTGCATTTTGTCTTTCTTCACTCATGTGCTGCAAAGCCTTGTTTTTGGCATAAAGTAATAAAGTGGAATCAGTTCTAACAACGTCTCCAACTTCGTCATTTTCCATGGACGCAAGTAATCTCTTCACAAGATTGTTTACGTTAAGTGTTGTTTCATCAGAATCTTCTTGTTGATTCTCAGTATTAAATCTTGCCAGTGGCAATACTCTTTGGCGATTAGCTGGACGTTCAGTACAAATTCTGTTGTGCCGAGAATAGTTATTTGGTGCAAAAAGTCCACCACAATTACAGCAATTTACAAATTTAGCGACTGGCACCATCTTTGAAGCACGAATAGAAATTCTGTTATGAGGATCAGATCTTGCGTTATGTACACTGTCAGACTTTCTCCTCAAAGCAGTCAAAGCCTCGTGGCGTGCCTTACTTTGTTTTTCAAGCAAAATAATTGTCTTAACTTCTTCTTCTTCAGCATGACATTTTACAAAGTGTCTTCCTATAGATGTTCGCATTTGATCACAGTACATACAAAAATGGTATTTACTCTTTTTATCAGTTGGTATTCTACAAGATTTTGGTCCTACTTCTTGATTTATATGTTGTTGAACCAGAAGAGGAGTCAGATTAGTTTTCATGTGAGGAAAAAAAGATTCCATTCCAAACAAAGTATCAGGACTGAGGAAACATTTATTGACATGGAACTCCGCCTTCCGCTCATCTTTATCTCGGACTATTGTTCCAACGTTAGAGTATGCACCTTCTGATTTAAAATAACCTGTAAAGCATATAATGTATTGTAGCAATCATTACCTATATAGGACTTTATGTATACTCACTGCACACATGATCGTTGCTATTAGTTTTATTTTCGTAAAGAAAACCAGTAAGCGTTTCTTTGACGCAATTAAGGTGGCAGGAATATTGTCCTCGATGTAACGTATGGTTAATAATAACTTCAACATTTTGGCCCTTAAATGTTACTATTGCTAACTGTGAAGGCATATTACTACGGGTAGGTGTATTTTCTTCTAGGGGGCAGTTTGGTATCATCATCGAGCATGTAGGGGAAGGTGTGATTCTAGTCATTCTGGAAAGTATGCCAGCGTCGGTAGACTCGCTTTCTTCAGAAGACGGTGTTCTTAGAAGGGATAAACCTATTAACAAATATAGCAAGTTTTTTTGAAGCTTCTTTATCTACATTTCAGAGTATCTCAGATAAAATTGTAATGTAAGGATTTATTAAAATATGTTAAAAATATACAGGGTGAGTCACTAAGTCCGCGTTCCTCGATGTTTCATTAAATATTAGCAATTGAGAAGAAAGATCAGGACCAAATTTGTACGATTCTTTGAGGACTATACTCTCAAATTATTTTTAACTGTAATGTATTTTTTAGCAATGGAAGGGTTCCCAAAAAAATCAGAGTAAAGTTTTTTTCAAAATCTGTGTTGCAATACTTTGTGTAGCACCTAAAGAAAGGTACGCGCTTTGTTATGGTATAAATGGCATTCAATTTTCGTATTCATAGCGTTTATCAAAATGTTTTAATTGTTAGAACTCTCAAATATCGATATTTCAGTTTTCTCAAATAAAATACCTACCCCTTTTTTCATACCTGCGTCTTATTTTTTTTCTTTATAATTGAAGATGATAGTTACTGCGTTTTTTACTTTTTTGATATAGACATTAACATATTAAAAAAATGAGGACAAAAATTGAATAAGATACGATCATAAAATACAGGCTGTTCGTCTGATGAACTGAAATATTGACATGTTAAAATTATAAAGTTTAATTTTTTTAAACACTGTGTATATTTGTGAGTGTATAGCCTAAGAATCAAAATATGTAAAAATATATAGGATGTTTTATTAAAAAAAAAACTAACGTGTGAGTTACGCTTTAAAAACAGAACCCTTAGTATAGTTAAAAATAACATAACTGTACAACTTTGGTCGTTAACTTTGTTCTATTTGTAATAGTAAATGAGATATTGAAAACCCCGAGTTTAATGTTTCATCCTGTAATAAAAAAAACGTTGGCTAGCAACATATGCGTCATTTTTACATTGTGCTAAATTAAGTTTCCTCCTTCAAGCCAAAAACAATGGTGTATACAAAATTTCAATATCTTTATCTGTTTTGAAGATATAAGATCACAGAATTTTATCTGGGACACCTGGATAATACATATATATATATATACTATTTTACCTGATGTAGGAAAAAGCTGACGTCTAACATTACTGCGAATATCATCAACTTGAAATGTTGGTGATGAAATGTGACTGGATCCCCTACTTGAACAGGAAGTGGTTGGTTGATAACTATCACCAGAGTCTTCATACGGCTCCTCATCGGTGTCAGAAATCTCATACTTACTAGTCTTCGAAAGTTTTATTTTGTTCTAAAACGATAGCCAGATTATTTACATTTGTTCTTTGTAAACTGTATTTCATACCAGTTGAATACTATTAGCAATTTTTATAAACGACGATTGTAATTGATCTTTCATCCTAGACAATGTTTTGGGATCTAAAAAAAACACAAATTGTTATTGTACTTTCTATGTAACATCAACTCACCTCCTGAAAACAGTAGTGAAGATTTGGGACTTAATTTTCGTTTTCCTACGTAGATATTTCCTTTGGACGACTTATAGAGCTTACTGCATGAAACAGATTCCTAAAATATACAAACATACATATTATTACACTTCACATTAGTGGAGAACTAAAAACAGTTTTAGAATATTAATCCGACATTTATCGACGTTCAGTTTTAAAGAATTTCAAAAAATGATTATTAAAATACAGCGCGATCAATATAATACTGTTTAGATTGGCAATTCTGGGAAATTTTGATCCAAATGACCGGTGCTATGTCATTTTTAAGCCCTCAAGGGACTTTGGATATGAGACTTATATTAATATGTAATCAGTAGTAATTTTTAATTTAAAATAAATGTCACTGTCACCCTTGTCAATTTTGACAACAGTGACAACAGGAAATAACGTCGGCAGACAGATGTAATTGTTAATCACGTTGTTTAACCATTTGGTGAAACGAACATTAACAAAATTTTTCTATTCATCTCCATTTCCATAAAAAATATTGTTATCGAATCCATTGGAAAACTAGCTACATTTATATTTTCTCAATGAGTCATGACCCCTAAAGTACAAAATATAGGTTTTCTGTTTTCGTCTGTCTGTGTCAATTTTTGTTAGGCAGATAATCTCTGAAACTATATAAATATCATGTAGGTGATAAAATGCTACCCAAACTTTGTCTAATCATATCCATCAACAATGTGATCACATCACCTCAAAATTGTACATACTAAATGGGTTTTAAATTGTATAAAATAACGTAGTCCCACACGTGTGGTTTATGAGTCCGTGTTGAGTTTTTACCCTAGATATATGGATTTTTGGGGGGAAAAAAATTAACGTTTGTAACATTTTGCAATTTAATTTTGAATCTGCAAAACCGAATGTTTTAAAATGTTCCAGACGTTTTAAAGTTACTGGAAACATGGTAAAGTTTTAATCGAAATAAATAAATCCTATCGAAAATGTGCAAAATATGATACGCCTTTGATTGTGATTTACCACTGCATCAATTTTTTGGAATGACATATTCATAAAATAAATTTATGTAATGTTAAACTAAATATAGAGAAGCGTGCTACGCGTATGTTTCAAATAAGTTTTTCCCTCACATAATTTTGTGATGACGCCATCAACATTTTTGCGAAGGTTTATACATAGATGAATATAGATGCGACATAGAGGCTGCAAAACCACCCTTATTTACATTGAAGTCCCCAACCCCCAAAAGCAAGCGGCAAATTTAAATACTCGATACCAGTATAAACCTTGTTTCACTATAATTGTAATTCGTGTGATCTGAATGAAAGTGAAGGAAACAGTAAGCAGCTTGTAATATTCTGATAAATCTAGTGTCAATTTGTAAAATAAAACGTGTCGTTAAAAATAATATGACATTTATTCTAGTTAATTTTACTCCTAGTTACAAACACTGCTACCAACATAAATTGAGGAGTCCCCAGTGCCTCAACCGTCATTTCATTTAAACTATGCCACTTCTCTATGTTGTCCGGTTTATATATGAGTTTGGATAAGTGCAGTCTAACACTAATAATAACAGCATTGTATTCCCAAATTTTTGGAAAAATGGAATGAGCCTTCCCTGATTTAACCAATAAATAAACAATAATTTGTTTGAGTCATCTGTATAAGCAATTCCAAAAAATATGAATGTAATGTTAAGTCACAAGTACAGACCCACCATATTCTTCACATTTTAGATAGCATTTACTCGGCAAAAATTTGAGGTAACGTCATCAAATTTTGGAGGAGATAAATAAATATATTTTGTTTAATAATTTACCATGCTCGAGATAACTTTTAAAACGTCTACAAGATTTCGAAGCATTCGGTTTTGCAGATTCAAAATTAAATTGTAAAACATTGTTATAAAATTTTGCTCTTTTTCCAAAAATCTAGATATCTCGTGGATTCACAAACTACACTTGTAGGCGTATGTTATTTTTTTCTATTTAAAATCTATTTAGTAGGTACAATTTTGAAGTGACGTCATCACATTACCGGTAAGGATGATTAGACTAATCATCAGAGAGCGGAAAATATGCAGCAAAATTTTGGGAAATATGATCATATGATATGCATCAAATGTATGCAAATATGCAGTAACTTTCTTAATATATGCAGAGATATGCAGTTGCATATGCTCCAAAAATTAAAAAAAACGTAATAACCGAACTAAATTTATTTACAAATTGCAAAAACACTCACATTTTTTAAGATAATATTCTTATACTAAAAAATAAATACAGGTAAACAGAACGAATTAAAAAATGGTAGTAATCGACTATTTAATTACTATTTTGGTAACAATTTATTTTTATATATTTTTAGAAATATTCTAAAACGTTTTTCCGGTGATTCTAAAGTATGTATTTGTAAATAGAAAAACTGCGTACTGCGTCCACAGATGTAAGAATGCTTACCGGATTAGAGCAGGCGCGACAAAACATAGTTCCTTCTTGAAGAACAAGTTCAGGAAAAGGTTTAATCCATAAATTAATTTGAGTTACTTATCTATATGTTGACACACCTCTATCGCTTTAAATGCTTAAATGCAAACGCCCGATGAAAAATAATAGGATAACGTCCCTTCGACCACCATAAAACATACCATTAATACACTTAAGTAACGAACAAAAATATTGGGAATAAACGGTATTTCCAAAAGTAATTAGGACCCGATTTGACCTGGAAGCATGGCTTAACACCCAGTGGTTCCTCCAAACTACCATAAAACCCAAACCTTTCTCTGTTATTTGAAGCTCAGGACAATATTTGCAATATGATTCATGAAATTTCGTCTTTCTAGATAAATGCCGATAGAATGACAATCATTTTGCAAAATATGCACCCGTTACGTGAAATATGCAGCAGAAGGCAAATATATGCAAATATGCAATTTTTGTTGATAGCTGTATTCATTTTTAATTAGCATGATTTGCTCACATATTAAATATCAAGACTTATATGCAAAAAATTACGGATATGGAAATTTCATAAAATCCGCTCTCTAATGATTACACAAAGTTCGGTTAGCGTTTTACGATCTTTGTGATACTCATAATACATATATAAATTTGTCAACAATCGGTCCGATAGTTTCGAAGATTATTATCTGTACCAAATTCGACACAGATGGCGGACAAGCAGAGTGACAGACAAAAACAGGAGACCTATGATTTTGTACTCTAGGGGTCTCTCTCACAGAAACGCCCGACGGCCCCGATTACAATACTTCCTAAGATTATGCTTGGGAAGCAAAAACTACATTTAGAAATATCAACATTAAACCTTTGTACTAGTAAAAATTTAAATTGGTTTATTGAAATTTCCTGTACAGACAGCTTGTATCTCAATCATTCTGAAAACCGGTTTGTCAATTTAAAAAATTGTCGTTGTTGATAATCTGACATTACTACCATTAATTTTTAAAATTAGTTCAACACTTCACGGTTGACAATTCGAGATCTTAACTGTACCGACCTTTTTTTTTTCGAACTCATACATATAATATTCATCATTACTTAAATGGTATGTTTATACAGGGTAAGTTACTGCGCGTACGATCCTCGATATCTCATAAATTATAAGATTAAAATTTACTGACCAAAGTTACATAAATTGTGGAAAAATAAAACAGAGGTTCGTACTTTGTTGTGGAATACATTAATTTGAGTTTTAATATACCGAGTGTTTATTAAAAAAAGTGGTTGAAAGTTGGTTATATGGCCATCATAAAATCATCCCATTGTGTCGAAGTTAAGTTGTTTACAATAGAAAAGGTTTTAGGGTCGTAAATAACGTGTCCACTGCAGCTCGACCGGCTCTTGTGGTTTCGTTCAGGGACGGCTTCAACTAAATATGAAAATCCCCCACTCCACTATTTCTTTACTACCTGCAGCCGCTGCGTTATATCTTGTACGCCGTATTGAGCAAGGTGATCCCTCGGTTGTTCTTCACACCACTTTTTTGCTCCTTTTTAAATAATGGTAACCGAGAGTAGTGATGATGGTAATTTGCATAATGTTGTATAAAACGATTTATTGATTATGCCACTTTCTTAAACCGTCCCATTAATGAATGTGTTTAGATAATTTGAACCTTCATCTCATTTTCAGTCTCAAAGAGTACGAGAAAAACGGGAAGTCACATTATAAAGTCGTCGACAACAAGCTCATCTTGATGCAACAGTTGATTAAATTCCAGATGGATAATTTGTTTGATGAGGACAAAGTTCTCGGGGATAATATTAATCAAGTTTTGAACAACAATTGGTCGAGAATGTTTGCCAATGTTAAGCCAAATTCTGAAGAGGCTTTTAGAAAGATTTTTGCCGCGATTTTTGATAATGTGTTGTGAATGTGAATTATCAGTCAAGTTGCTTAATAAAGATGTGATAAAACTGGTTCTTTGAAGTTGTTTTTGTTGTTTCAAATTAAACTTTATTTTAACTATTTGTTTCAATTTTTTTTTTTTTAATAATTGTTATGACGCGATATCAATTTGTTTAGTATGGCGTTGTCACAAATTTGCAACTAAAAGCTACATTCTTTGTTGACAATGGTAGCAAAAAACTCAAAGTCATAAAACTGCTATTTTCTTGATACACTATCTTAGGTTTTTCTTATAGCTCAGTTATTTTATTAATATTTTTCTTGTATACGCTCTATACACAATCTTATTTCAAGAAAACCCTGAACTCTAGTTTTACCTTCCAGTTTAGGAGCATTAAAAAAATCGATTCAAACATGCAAAAACGGATAATTGTTAATCAAGAATCTCAAACAAATATCATTCAGTATAGTTGCGGAAAATTTTTATTATTCTGCACTCAACGACTCTTAATAGGACTGGTTTTTGAAGGCAGATTGTTTTTAGTTTTTTCGTTGGGCAAGGCCCAATTTTATATCATTTCTAAAAATAAAAAGAAAACATTGTTCATAATATATACTGTATATATACGTAGATACATTTTCTTGCATCAAGGCTGTTTAGTACTGTGATGAAATTTGGACAGTGGAAAGGGAAATAAACGTTACTGTGGGTAATTGAAGCTGAGAAGATTTTGAAATAATTTTGGTTCTGTAATAAGTCTTCGTTACTATAAGTTTAATGCTGTGGTGTCCTAAATTTGAAATTTAAATTTCGCGCTGAAAAATCAGGCAATCACCCATGCTGGATGATTGGAAATTTTTGGAATACAGCGAATATAGAATTCTACAAGGTCACCCAGTTCCTGTTTTGGGCACGTTACATACATTACATATAATTCAGTCTCCAATTTCATAAGTCGGCAATTATTTAACTAAAATGAATCTCATTCAAAGCAACGGTCTTCGTTCACCGAGCTTAAATAGTGCAATATCATTTTATCAATAATTTTCTAATTTGAGAATTGTAAAACTTAACGTGTAATTGAAAGGACCTTGAACATTTTCACCAATCACTTGCTTGCTCCATTTCTCCTACTTCTACTAATCAATCAGTTGTCATAAATTCAAGAAAGATAAAACTTGAACTTTTACTGCCATTAAGGGATAAGATGGAGTAGCGAAAGTGGAACACACGGTTTCTAATGAAACCTGAATTTCCTCCTCACTCCTACTTTTGTATATCAAAATCTCTGCTCCAAAGCTCCCATTGGTGATCTTTAACACTTTAACTATATTTTCCTCTTTAGTCTATTCTTTCTCCTTATAAATTTTATAATCTTTGTCAATATTCTCAGTTTCCTTCATATGCCTCAGACTATATATAATCTTCATTATTATACATTCTTATTCCCTTTCGTTTTTGCTTTCCTTCTCACTTTGTTTATAAAAAATAAATCCCAAGAGGTGCAGGCCTCACAAGTACGGACAATATGAATTATAAGTGAAACCAATGAGAAAATATGTTGTCTCAGTATACACACGCATCTGGCATTTTTTGTTTCAATATATGATATGAATTTTGGAAAATATTAATTTGAAAAAGAGGGAAGTAGGTAGGTTAAGGCAAAATACATACATAACTAGTCAAATATTTGAGTGCAGGACGTAATGTTCGCATTTGAAGGAAAATCAAAATTCTATACATATACCAACTTTTATTATTAAATGCATTAAATTTATTAAGAGCACTGATACCATGTACCCGCGTGTATAAGGTTAACGGTGTTAAATTTATTTTTTGTTATTAATAATGTTATTATTGTTACTATTACATGCATGTGTACATACACACAATTATTATTATTACATATTATGTTGCTTATGTTTTCGATTCTTTATGTAGTAGTAGTGTGCAGTATTGATTTCTTTCATCGATTATCCTTGAGTGTCCGTTTCGTAATTAGGTAACAAAAATGGAATAAATTTTAAAAAAAGGCTATTAAAATAATATTCCCACAGGCACAAAAAAATATTTTTGCTGTAAAACTGTTACTAGTAACCAGAAACTTCAAAGACACAGACTCAAGGTAATAACATTTATTTGGTCAGAATCCGAAACGCTCGGATGGCTAGCAAGCAGGCAATGTTGTAAATTTTTCCAATTATTATTATGACAGCTAGGGTTGGACGGTCAATATTACTGACAGCTGTTCCGAGCCCAAGAATTTTACCCTTGCTTTTAAACTGCTTTTAAGATGGAGCTGAAGTACAATATTTTGTCGGTGCGAATTATTAGCACCGCACCCAAGGATTTTAAATAAGTCTACTTATTTAAAATCCTTGCACCGCACCGAAAACCTCTACTTGGATGAGCGACTGTACTACTCTCTTATCTGAATAAATTACCTGAGGACCGTCGTCCGTCCTCAGGTTGTTGTGTTGTGTTTCTATTGTGCAGGTAAATTTTACAATTATCTAAATACTCTTCACGATTTTTTTTTTTGTATTAAGAAAGGCAACATATTGATCGATATAAACCAGTAGAATAGCAGACAATTAAACTACCATTTCAGAGGTAACAGATTTATTATATTAAATACATATTTTCAAAACGAGCAAATAATCTATACATAAATAGTTTGTAATAAAGTTGTTTTTTAATTTTTAGTGACTTTTTTTCTCTGTGTGCTTTTAAAATATAATCAGGATTTCTAACAGATAATCTCCTACGTCTCCTAGGAACAACAAGTTCCGGAACAACAAGTTCCGGAACAACGCATCCGAAATAAAATTTTTGGGGTTTCAGAACCATTTTTTTACAAAATTCTTCGTCATATGGAACGTATGTGATTTTACCCCTTTTGAGTGTCCAAATGGCAAAAATACAAGCTTTCCTTTTCGTTATGTGCAACTGGCCTAGCATTTGGTAATAATATACATGTTCCTTATTAATATATGATTTACCCTTTTTGTCCATTGTATGGTAAAACGAGGGATTCTGCTTAAAAAAACATGATGGTTAAATTTTCTGCATTTAATTTTGATAAGTATGTATATTTAAATTTTTAAGTTCGATTTTCTAGATATTTTCAACATGTACAGAGCTACATAAACATTGTATGTTGATTGTTTTTTGTTTTAAATTATATCGTCATTGACATGTTTTTAGATGGCAACTTAATAATTTTTTTTGAAATGTGAAAACTTTTTGAAAGTTTTTCTACAGCTATATATGAACATAAAGTTTTGATTATGCTAGAATAATGTATTTTAAAATACAAAACGAGTGTGGCGATTAAAATTAAAAAAGTTTTTTCCACCAAATATGGAGTTCCTGTTGAAGAAAATGACAATGACGACTCTCGAACAAGAAATCATTTTAAAATTTTTATGTAAAAATTTGTACTTCCAAAATACAAAGTCTATTTCCATTTTACTTGATAGATGTAACGTGTGAGTCATAAAATCTTGCCCCTAAGTTAGCAACACGGTGTATAATAAGTTAGGTGTTCCGACGAGCGCGTGAAACGTGTCCCCAACTAGTCACAGATTTGGAGTGAGAGAAACAGAAGAGGGCGGCCGTCATTTAACCGCACTGACGGGAAAGAGACGGGAGAAGTATTTGTCGGAATTAAAGCCATTTAGGTCAAGAAATCATCAAAATTAATTATCCGTTGTATTAAAATAAAAACTTTAAACATTTTTAAAATAATAATTTATTTAAAAACATGAATGTAAAATGTAGTTCTTTTCGCCTTCACATATTATATTAGTTTCACTCACTTCTGTTCGTTTCACAAGACAACTAAAAAATATCCATTAACCATTATCTACTTTACTGTTTGAGAAATAAAAATTTACCATTATTACGTAGTCTGCAGTCGAGACTCTTTTCTTTTTTCTGCACATGCCTTGGTTGTTTTCTCTTGTTCCTGTTTATAAAATTGTTTAATTCGCATAATTGTGTAAAAATATATTGCCTTTGAAAATATTTCCAATCTATGCTCTTCACAAGAAAAAGGAAAGTAAATAGTCATAAAATTTTTTGTTGCGAATAGCTCTTCAATTGTTGCATCGAAAACATCCACAAAATCGATATATTTCATAAGTATCCCTTCCACCCATCGGAACATATTAAACATTAACGAATCTGGATGGTTTAACCACCCCCTAGATTTTGTACTAGTAAATTCAGATGTACTAGAACATGGATCTTCTTTGTTGTATAACTGTTCACGGCAAATATTACATTTTGAAGTATTGTACAATTTTTTTGCGACAAATCCAGCTAAGTAATAAATGATGTTGTCAACAATTTCAGTTGTAGTGACATCTTCAAATAGTTGTTCGTCTATTTCGTTAATTGGTGAATCTGTATCTAAAATATATTCAATTTTCCTTTTTATTTTCTCAACATGATTTTTCCCGCATTCTGGATTTGTTTCAAAAATATTTTTGAAGTCATTAAATGATAACGAATGATTTGCATTACTATTTTCCTGCATCTGTGTGCAATTGCCAAATTTCGGAGGTTTTAATAATTTATAAACCGATAACATTCGGTATAGCTGCAAAAAAGTTATAAATGTGGGATGTCCATTGGCACAACCTGCTTGTCGAATTGTGCCGAAAAATCTCTGCAAAAAATATAGTCTCTGTGGAATAAAGAAAAAATACATATCGCATTCAAAAACCCTCTGAAAATAAACATAAATTCTGTTTACTGAATGTTAAAACATAACACATAACCGATAAAAAGGGAGTAATTGTTTTAAGTAAAAATAAAATTCAACATAAAATGCCTGCTATTACTATAGCGACGACCAGTATTTTTTAGTGCAAAGTATTGTTCAAAAGCAGCAGTTCACTACTGCAATAAAAGTTAAAACCCTTTAATAAACAAAAAAAGTAAACCTAACAGCTACTTAGATAAAATAAGAACCTAATGCCCCGGCAAAAAAGAAAGAATTGTTGGCGTAACTTTTCGATGCGGAATGAACGCAAAATGTCAAATGCAAAGCGGGTATGTGCAATTGTGCATGTTATAGTTAAGTATCTTCATTATCATTATCTACAAGAAAACTAACTACATCCCACTCCAAGCATCAATGTGTAATTTTACGAAGCAACTTACCTCTAAAGGATCTTGGTTCATTTTATTTGTTAAAACGTATTTAAAACCGTTTGACAGAAGATACTTACAAAGTTCAATTGTTGACAAAATCGTAACACGCAGTCCTTCTGTCGTGGATTTTGTCAAGAATTGACTTTTGCTAATTTTTCCTTCTTCTACCATTCGTTCCCATTCGTTAAACCATGCTAGATTTTCATTTAAAGTCTAAGACATATTTCAGTATTATGATTAATGTAGTCTACTAAGTAAAACACGTACATCAAAATCTTTACTATTTTCTCGAATACCTTCTAATGGATGACGGCGGTTTAAGGCATCAAATAAGTTGTTTACACGCTTCGTAAATTTGATGGTACTATCAACTTCCTCAAACTCTTTATACTTTTGTTTAAAATAATGTAAGCCATCTGCGACTGAATTACTGAAAATCTGAAAGGTAGATAACTATTAAAAAAATATATACATATTTTATACCCAGTTAAGTTTTTGTAGTAAATTATAGTTTATAATGACTGTAATTAATAAAAAAAACCTAAGCAACTAGTTTATAGAGGCCCAATTAAATATTAAAATATCATAAAGAAAATCAGGTATTAACACTGTTGGCAGCATTTCATTACCGTATATAATGTCTCGTCGAATTTCGCATTCAATTTAAAATTTAAGTAAGCTTTTATAAATCAGTCATATTTTTTGACACACCTGTGTTGCCAGTTTAACACGCATTTTCATAAAATTTGTTGGCTGAATATGCATTTGTGTTAACTTTGGACAAATTCTCAAGTTATGTGGAAGGTTTTTGTCATAATCAAATAACATCTTATAATGCATCCAGTTTACTTTTCCATCAGGAGTCTAAAATAAAAGTACTACAAAGCCAGAACATATTATGTAAAATATTTTGTTACCTGAAGAATGGATGCCTTTAAAAATCTGTTTCTTAAACATTTTACTAAATGAGGCGCATCAGAAAAGAAAAATAAATATCTAAGTTCGTCTAGTGGATGAACACATTTATTGACGGCATTATCCAATTCACCAGTTATTCCAAATTCTTTCCACATTCTCCGGTTTGTGCTGGCACCATCAGATACTATCCCGTGAATAACAACACCACAATATTCTAACTTTCGTATTACTTCAATCATTAATTGAGCCAAACATGTTCCATTTGTAGGACCTTTTGCTGCATACACAGCAACAGGTTGGTTAAACTCCTGATCTGTCAAAGAGCTGAACAAAAAAACTAAAGCATGATCAGCCTTTTTATCCGCAGTTTTAGATGTTTTTGGATGTTCAAGTCCAAAATCTTGTATTCCTATCAGTTTTGTATTTGTAACATTTAATTCAATATTTTGCCTTACCGTCATTTCATCAAATATAAGGATTCCTTGCTTTTGAAAACTGTTTTTCCCTTCTACTTTTTTCTTAAAAGCCTCAAAAAATTGTTGGTCCAATCCACACTTAATACTTACACGAGATAAATATTTTCTCACAGTTGAAATTTGAGGTAACGGCAATATATCATTATTCCTCAAAAATCTATACGCTGCTGGACTTCTGATATGAAGAAGTAAGCACGTTAGCAACCAATCAGAAGTGTAACGCCTGGAAGTCTTTTTATTATATTTTGTCATTTTGTAACATTCTTTGATCAAAATTTTTTGAGCCAACGGTAAATTATCTAAATTGTCTATTTTATTGAACAATGATTCTTCATCTATTCTCTTAATTTTTTCTTTAGACAGTTTTAATTCACTTAAAATACGTTGGGTTTTTGTTTGTAATCGGTTTTGTTGCCTATTTGATATTTTCAATTTTTTCCGTAAAGATGACAGTTTTGTGGTAATTAATGTTTTATTCTTTCGTTGAAAATCATATAGAGCCCGTGTTATTTTCTTGCAGTAAAAACATTGCTGTCCTCGATTTGTTGTGTAAGTGCAGTGTATGTGTCTCCAAACGTTACAGTGTCTATCAAATTGGTAAAACGTGGTCTGAAAAGCGGAAGGACATTTATTTATTTTTGCTCCTCCATAACAAACTTCTAAACTATCGAAATAGTCTAAAAACGTCTGAAGCGTTTGTACACTGTTAACTTCATTTAAAGTAGATGGCAAAAATGGTGATCCAAAAATAAAACACTTGAGGCCGTCTTTTGCTATTAGTATGCTTTTTTTCATTTCAACGGTTTCGTCTATTACTGTAACCATAGAAATGCAAATTTTTTTATTTTCATTTCCCTGATCAGTAATAATATGCAGAGCCCACGATTTTGACGGCAGTTTCAAAATATTTTCGCTGATTAGTCTATCAAATAAAATTTCAATGCTTTGTTGGTGTTTATTTTCAATAGCTAAAATATAAATGATGAGCGTATACCATTAATAAGTAATTTGAAAATATTCACATTCAATAATGCTTTCACTGCCAGCAGCCATTTTTTTTAATTTTTTAGGAGTCTGTTCATCTCTTTGGAGTATTCTACGTTTTTTTGTATTTTTTGTCAAATAATGTGGACATCCAGGGAAGATGCAAGGAATGGCATCTTTCGACAATCTTGGAAATTTTAAAGTGTACTAAAATTAATAAAAAGAAATTGTGACTTTAGAATAAATATGTAGGTAAATATTTCGGAATATTACCGTGTAACATTCCGTTGTCACTTCTGTTACGATATCTTCTCTGTTAAAATGTTTGGCACACACAACATCATTAACAGTTAATTGTCTGTCTTTTCTTGGAATGGCGCGCTGCCATTCCAGTAATCTGTCTTTAGGTACCCGAAACACCGACACTTTTTCGGGATTACCTTTGTATCCGCTAGAACAATTAGGCACAACACATTTTCTACCCATTTTTATTGATAAATCAAAAAAACAAGTAAGAAATCGCAGAGAAAACCTAGCAAAATCTGTCACACCTACAGAGGGAAAAAGCCCGCCAAACGCTGCTAAACAGATCTGAGTGAGAGGTTACAGGCCGCCGCTGTCTGTCTCTCTCGACCGCTCATCGTGAGTAAACCGGCGTCAAGTCGATGCACGGTGAATACGCTCCGTCGTAACACCTAACTTATTATACACCGTGGTTAGCAATAAACGTAAAAGATATGATACGACCAATCTGTATATGAGTTTCTACTGTATAAGTATTTAAGTTGTGAAATACATACAAACGTACATACCTGCTTATATAAACGCAGTATTCTAATAAACAGATAAATTTTCCGATTGATAAAATGACCACAAACTGTAATCACTTGTATATTGCTACAAATATTAGGATCCTATGACCAATTAGTGTGTAGACCAAAGGTAAGAAGAAAATAAAATCTGAATTTGTGAAAATTAGCTAAATAATTTCTAGTAAAAAAATCTCCTGAATCATAACATAGTTGGCCTCTTCACTTTAATCCGTTTATCTATGAGTGATGGCGTTAAGCTCTTTAGGCGTATACCTGGTCTCATCCACAGTAAACCAGAAAATTACTCAGCTTGAAAAATATTTCCGAATCAGTTTTTTCGGCATGTGTTTTAGAGTTTATTCATTATCCGGTTTTGATTTTTCAAAAACAATTCTACGCCAGAGTAAATTTACTACAGATGCCTGTAAGTAAAATTTGGAAATTTTTCTAAATAACTTTTCTTTGTATACATGAGTAAATTCGACCGTTTAAGTTTATATTTCCAAAAAATTCGACTATTAGCACGTTACAATAACAACCATCTCCGTTAAAACAAAATGAAATTTGATTGATTTGGTCTCCTCAAAAGAGGAAAGAGGTCGGATAATATAAATACAGGGCCGGCTCAACACGGTAAGCGAAAGATGCACCGCATCGGGGCGCCCATGACAAAGGGCGCCGGGCGGCGGGCACCGCCTATGCTTTTATATTAACTCTATAAAAATAAACATTGAATCACTATGTACAAAATATTATAGCAAGAACAGACCAAGGCGCCCATCGAAAACTTTTCGAAAAAGCTACAGTTTAATATTCCACTATGGGGAGTGGTTCACAAAAACAGATCATAAGAAGTCACTTTTTGACTGTAATAATTGAAAAAAAGTGCACCTTTGGGTTGGGTGATTGGACCTTTAGATCAATACTGACAAAAAGTACCAGATTTATGATTGCACTATCTGAATAACAATTTGACGAAACAGCGGTATGACCAAAACCAGATGTTTTTCCTAACATTTGTCACGTTTGTTTTTACCATAAAACTCCATGTCGGCACATACTTAAAAATTTTATTTTTCAAGTCTAGTCGGTTGGTTGTGCTGATTGTTCAACAGTTTTGTTATATTTTTCACTGTTCCTGTTTGCAACCGAATTTGATTCTGTTGTATCATTTTGTGGCTCTTTGTCATCATTAATTTTACATTTAAATTTCGAATAACATTGAGGTAAATCTAAATTAAAAATAACTTTGAAATCGTTTCAATTTTACAATATTAAAAATTCAAAACTTTTTGTAATATAAATATTTTTATACTTATACTAAAGTCTTTGCCATTTCTATTGAAACACCACTTGTTAATCGTAAATTTGGTAACGTTCATATTCAGACAATTTTCTAACTAAAAGCCGTTGTCAATCAACTAAAAACTGTTACCAATTGCTAAATTTTAAGCAAAATCAACAGGTGGTGTTTCAGTAGAAATGGCAAAGACAATATGTAGAAAAGTTGTTGCCTGCAGCTCCCCTTGCGTGGAATTCACAAATCATTTTTCATCCCGTTCACTCCCCCCTCCTTAGTGAACCCGTCTAATTTAAAAAGTCATAAATTTTTGTCCCCGGTAGGGGCGGAATTTCAAAAAATCCTTTTTTAATGGGTGCTTATAACACAAAATGAACCTACTGTCCAAATTTCATTTTTGTAGCTTAAGTAGTTTAGGCTTTGTGTTGATAAATCAGTCAGTCTGTCAGTCAGGACAAACACTTTTATATACAGTATGTCCCCGGATTGAGTTCACAAGAGGAAAAAAAAACTGTATTTTCTATTTTACAAAAAAATGATATAGGAATAACATTTTTAGCTTAATTCAAAACGAATAAATCTGCAATTAAAATTTTAATACTATCAGGCTGTGTCCTTAAAATCGAAAAAAACTAAAAGTAACGAAGAACTGAGAAATAAGAAAAAAATAATTTTAAAAGTATAGACCAGGAATATTGAAGTTTTAATTGCAGATTTATACGTTTTGAATTAAGCAAAAAATGTTATTCCTATGTAATTTTTTTGTAAAATAGAAAATACAGTTTTTTTTTCTCTTGTGAACTCATACCGGGGACATAGTGTATATATTAAGATTGATTCATCATAATTTTATGTATGTTTGTTAATAAAAATATCGCTCTACAAAAATGTGATTACAAAATTTTATTTGTTTTTTTTTTACAAAAATTTTTTAGAGGGCGTTG